CCTCAGTGTCTGTTGTTATGTTCCCCTTTTAATTTCTGATCTTGTTAATTTGCATATTCTCTTGCTCTCTGCCTCTTGGTTAGTTTGGATAAAGGTTTATCTATCTTGTTAATTTTCTCAAAGAACCAACTATTTGTTACATTTATTCTTTGTATTGTTTTACTAGTTTCTACTTTATTGATTTCAGCCCTCAATTTAATTATTTCCTGATGACTACTCTTCTGAGGTGAGTTTGCTTCTTTTTGTTCTAGAGCTTTCTGTTGTGCTGTTAATTCTATAATGTGACTAGTCTCTAGTTTCTTCATGTGGGCACTTAGTTCTATGAACTTTCCTTATAGTATTGCTTTCAAAGTGTCCCATAAGTTTGGGTATGTAGTATCTTCATTCTTGTTTAAATTTTAGGAAGTCTTTAATTTCTTTCTTTATTTCTTCCTTGACACAGGAATGATGCAATTGGGCATTATTCAATTTCTATGAGTTTGTAGGGTTTCTGCAATTTGTGTTGTTGAATTCTAACTTCAAAGCATGGTGGTCTTATAAGATACAGGGGGTTATTCCAATTTTTTGTACCTATTGAGGTATGCTATATTGATCAGTATGTGGTCAATTTTAGAGAATGTTCCATGTGGTGCTAAGAAAAAGGTATATTCTTATCTCTTTGAATGGATGTTCTATAAATGTCTCTGAAACCCAACTGGGTCATAACTTCTGTTAGTTCCTTTGTTTCTTTGTTAAATTTCTGTTTGGTATACCTGACTTTAGAGAGATATTCACTTTGTCTGCACCTGTGGCATTGACCATGCCCATTGTTGGAGACAGAAGAGCATCCAGAGGCATCCCTGGGACCAGGAACCTGCTGTGTTCTTCTGTCTCTGTTGTAAGTTATTTCTCCCTGAATAAACATCTATTCAGCCTATTTGCTTTTCCTGATTCTTATTAAACCACGATATCTGGTGTCAGAAGTGATAACTGGATTATCAAACGACCTGGGGAATTAGGTTCCACCCAGGCAGCAGACACCACTCCCTTCCCCCACCCCAGCTATCTCTTACAGCTTTCCTACTTCTCTGTCCCTGTGCTGCAAGCAAGAGAACACTCTGGGGCCCCTTCCCCACACCTAGTTCTCCAAGGTAAAGTCCATCTCGATCCCCACTCCCCACCCCCAATGGGAATGGTCAGTGCCACAGATGTGGACAAAGTAAATATCTCACTGCACCTGTCTTATGTTGTGAGTGGAATGTTGAAATCTCCCATTATAAATGTGTAAGGTTTTATGTGAAATTTGAGTGTTAGTAATGTTTTTTTTCATGAATGTGGATTCCTTTGTATTGGGGGCATAGATGTTCAGAGACTTCAGCTTGATGGTTTTCTCCTGTAATAAATAAGAAATGACCGTCTTCATTTCTTTTGATTGATTTTAGTTTAAAGTCTAACTTGTTAGATATTAGGATTGCATCACCCACTTTTTCTTGGGTCCATTTGATTTGGAAAATATTTTGCCAACGTCTATCTTTGAAGTTTGGGTGTGTTTCTTGTATGTAGCAGAAGGATGAATTCTGTTTTCATATCCATTCTGTTAGCCTGTGTCTTTTTATAGACAAGTTAAGACCATTAATATTGAGAGATATTAATGATCATTGATTGTTAATTCTTGTTTGTTTTGGATTTGTTGATGGTGGTGGTATTATGTGTTACTTTCCCCCCATTTTTTCTTTTGACCGTTGGTAAAGTGAGTTTATCTATTGCCTATGTTTTTGTGGGTGTAGTGGACGTCCTTGAGTTGGAGTTTTCCTTCCAAATCTCTCTGTAGGAATGGATTAGTTGATAAGTATTATTTAAATCTGGTTTTGTCATGAAATACCTTGGTTTCTCCAACTATACTGATTGAAAGCTTTGCTGGGGATAGTAGTTTGATGTAGCATCTGTGGGCTCTTAATGTTGGTAGAATATATCTATTCTGGACCTTCTGACCTTCGGAATTTCCATGGAGATGTCAGGTGTAATTCTGATAGGTTTGCCTTTATATGTTACTTGGATTTTTTTTCCTGTGCTGCTTTTAATATTCTTTCTTTATTCTGCCTTATTTATTGGTGCTTTGATTATTATGTGGCAAGGGGACTTTTTTTGTGGCCCACTCTATTTGGTGTTCTGTAAGCTTCTTGTACTTTCATTGTCATGTCTTTCTTTAAGTTAGGAAAGTTTTCTTCTATGATTTTGTTGAATGTATTTTCTGAACCTTTGAATTGGGTTTCTTCACCTTCTTCTATACCTATTATTCTTAGGTTTGGCCTTTTCACAGTGTCCCAGTCCTCATCCCTCCTTGGGCAGAGGTGGGACCAGGAGGCTGGCAGACTCTGAGCAGACCAGTCTGCCCAGACAGGCTCCCCATGCACATGCAGTCTCCAGTCTTCAGGAGGCTCATGTGTTTTATTTTTAAGACAGGGTCTCACCATATGGCTTTTGCTGTCCTGGAATTCTCAATGTATCCCAGGCTGGGCTTAAACTCACAAAGATCTGTCTGCCTCTGTCTCCTATGTGCTGGGACTAAAGGCATGTGCCACCACATCCAGTGCATGTTTGAGTATTGTTGGATCTTGTTGTGATGGAATCTAAGTACATTTAAATACAATTGCAAAACCCATTGCATGTCATGAAACCTTTCCTCTGGATGAAGCAACAAGAACTAGCCTAGAGTCGTTTAGCTGTTATCCAGTCTACATTTTAATATCACAGATTTTAAAGTGATTTAAAGTCCTTTTTCAGTTTTCTTAACCAAAGCTTTGAGGCAGAAACTAAAAATGAGAGATATATTTGTTAAATTCAAAGTTAACAATTGTATTATCTAATTGTTAATTCTATATACTTATTGAATGGTTATAGTTACTCTGGCACTTCAACCTTCATAGACCTTTACCACTGTCTTCTTATAAACAAACAAACAAATAAGTAAGTAAGTAAATAAATAGAAAAGACATGTTCTTTGATTTAGATTCCACATGGCAAGAGGCAGAACTATAAGCAAAGAGCAGACAGTGTGATGTAAAAACTATTTGTGTAACGCACATGAAAACACAGAAAGAATCCGAAAATTCCATAGAGTACAATGAAAGTCTATGTTATTAAAATATCTTAATGTTTGTTTCTATTTTCTAAATGTTGATGGAATCCACACAAAGGTTGAGTATACATATATATATATATATATATATATATATATATATATATATACACATACATATATATATATATCAACTCTTCATGGTGAAAACATACAAAATCCTTTTAAGATTTTTTTAGAATGCCTTCTTATTATTAATTATGGCCAGTATGCATTATAATATGATTCTAGAACGTGTATATCTGTAACTAACTACCCATTAAGCAGTCTTCCTTGTGTCTATCCCTCCTTATTTTCCCAACATCTTGTAATAACATTGTCACACATGTGAGATGGACATTTTTAGATTCTAAATATGAGCGAAGGCTTACAATATTTTTCTACCAATACTTGGCTTATTTCACTTAACTCACTGTAATCTAATTCACTTTTTTTGTTACAAATAACTGGATACCATTCTTTCTATAATTAAGTAGTGCCTTCTGCTGTACACCTTGCATATTTTCTTTATGCATTCATCTGAAAGATATTTACTGCCTCATTAGTGGGTTTGACACTGGTGTTTATTAACATTGTGCCACAGCTTCAATAAATACTAAAGTACAGATGTCTACAACATATTGATTATATTCCCTTTGTATGTATATTCCCTTGTAGGACTGTGATATCTATCACATGGTAGTTTGATTTTGACCTTTGGCAAGTGAGAAAGTCTTTATTTCAGTGTTAGCTTAAGGACTTTGTTGTGTTGTATTTTTATAATTTCTTCTTGTATACAATGTAATGTGATCATGTTCCTCTCCCCATTACCTTTTCTCATCACCTTGTACATGTTTTCCTTTTTCTCAACTAGTCTTCTCCCATCCCTACCAGGTAAATTTCCAGTTTTGTGTGTACAAGTCATGCAGGTGTTCATAGTTGGTATAAGATTTGACAGCAAAACCCATTTCATATCCAGAAGATAGCATTTTATGGTATTTCTTCTGGTCCTCTGTCTCACACAGTCTTTTTGCCCACTTTGAAGTGGATGGAACAGATGTTATAGTTAGGGCTATATAATCCTTATTTTCAGTACTTTGAGGAGTTATGTGTCTTTTCATTGACCATGGCAACTGCTAAAATTTACTTTTAATTTTTGGTGAAGGGCCAAACTGTTCCCCATAGTGGCTATACTGACTGAAATTCCCAAAATAGTATGCAAGTATTATCTCCTCTCCACACTCATGCCAGAATTTGTTTCATATGTCAAAATGTTACTTTTAGAGGAATGTAACATCTCACTGCTGTTTTGATTTGTTACCTGGTGATTAATGAGTGATATTAAATTATTTTCATAACCCTATTGACCACTTTCTATTATCTAAATGATATCTATTTATGTTTCAAAATTATTTTCATGTATAATTTAATTCAGTATTTATCTTCTCACTAAAGAACACATGGCATTTCATTATGATAAATATATAGCTCCTTCTTGAGTTAAAAGTTGAAAATGAGGGTAAATGTTTAAGGATATGGATATGTGTGACTGAATTTAGCTGTATTGAAGAACCACATCGTCTTTGCTAACGTGAGCATTTTTTAAATTGTGGGTTGAAAGATTTCATAGAGTGGGGGAAATCTAAAAATATCATGAGTTCAGTTTTTATAAATGAGCTTATAAATAAAATGTGTTGATTTCTGTGATATTATGATTAGACTGACTAGGAATAATAATGAAGTTTCCATTCTAAAATTAATGTGACAAAGCTGCTTGTATATTTGCTATTCAAATCATCCACTGTTGACTCTGAATATGTAATGTTATTTTATTGCTCCAAACCAAACCCAGTATGTATCAGGGGGTCCATAACCAAAGATTTCATTTTTTTCTTTGAAATAGAGGAAAGATGGGACAGAATGGACAAGACCCTGTGAAACATCCAGGAATGGGAGCAACAGACACAGAAGGTAAGTGACATTTGCATTATTCAATTATGCCAGGATCCATGTGCTACATTATAAACTCATCTATGCACAAATGACAGAAGCACCAGATGGTAAATTGATACCTAAAGGGTAAGAATAACTTCGTATTTATTAACTACTTGTCAATTTTCTCAATTGTATTTAAATATTCAGTACCTTAGGGTAACAAATTTTTAAAGAAGATCAAGAAGATGATGAGAAAGAGATTCAAATGATTAGTGGGATAGAGTAGAGGACATAGGATTCAACCCTTGGAGCAACAGCCAGCTGAATTTTTAAAAGATTCCAAAAACATCCACTGGTGAAATGTCTTCAACAAATGATACTGAAAAATCATATTCACGTGGGGAAGAGTGAAACTAGATCTCTCTCTCTCTCTCTCTCTCTCTCTCTCTCTCTCTCTCTCTCTCTCTCTCTCTCTCTCTCTCTCTTCTTGTACAAAAACTGACTGGAAGTACTTCATAAATAATGTGAGGTCAGAAGCTCTATAACTGTCAAAGGGAACATGAGAAACAGTGTTGAAGCTCAGGTATAGGTAAGGGCTTCTGATAAAAAGGGCTCTAAAGCTGTGAAGTTATACCAATAACTGACAAATGAGACTGCATGAAATTTAAAAACTTCTGTACATCAAAAAGGAGCAAAAATATGACAGAAATAATCTCCATAATACATAAAACTTAAAAAACTATAAATAAGAAACTAAATACCAACTCCCAAAGTAACTTTATAAATCAATGAATGTGAAGATGAAAATAACATTTGGTCCTCAACAAAGTAAACATTGCCAATAAATATATAAAAATATTCAATATCTTCAGTTATCAGAGAATGCAAATAAATATATCATTGAGTCTCCTATAACCAAAGTCAGAATGACTACTATCAAGAAAACAAACAGCAGCAAATGCTGAGTGGGATACAGGACAGTAGGAAATGCCTGTGCATTGCTGTTGACAATGTTAATTAGTCAAGCTATTATGAAATCATTATGGAGCTTCTGGAAAATGTTCCAGAAAGTAGAAATGTGACATAATCTCGTTATACCACATCTTACATACTTACATACCATGTTTATAGGAACACTACTCAAAATAACTAAGTTAAATAATTAACCTGGGTATCTACCAGTAGAATAATACATGAATAAATGTGGTGTACATACATGATAGCATTGTATCAGCCACAAAGAAGAACTCAGTCATTTCTCTCCCTAGGAAATAGATGTAGCCAGAGATTTTTACATTGAACAAAGCAAACCAGATACTTAAGCACAAATATCACATTTTCTCTCATTTGTGAATTATAGATTTTTATAGATATAATTACACATACAACACAACCCCACAGAACATTAAAGCAGCTAAAGGGAAACTGTAGGAAGGAAGGTGATTAGCATTGAAAATGATGAAGAAAGGGAGGGGAAGTGAGATATAGGTGCAAATATAGTCAAAATTCATGATATACCTAAAAATATCTTCTCTGGACTTCAAACTTGCTTTGAATAATTTGACAACCATGTAAACTTTTAAAAATTATGCTTTCCTTAAATATAAAAAATTAATTATTTTTAGGTTTGTTTATCTCATCTTTTACATACAAGTGTTTCGCCTGCATGTAATATGGGCACCGTGTGCAAGTCTACGGCCCAAGGAGGTCAAAAGAGGCCATTGGTTCTTCTGGAAATAGAGATGCTCATGGTTTTGGGCCACCATGTATGTAGTAGGAATCTAATCCAGGTCCCCTGAAGAAACAAATCCTTTTTATCACTGAGACGAGTCTCCTGTCCCATGAAATGTTTGTTCGAATATCACACAATTAGAAAAATCAATCCTATGACTGATTTAAACCATGAAATTTTTTATTTACTTTATTTTTCTTATTTTTGAGGTTATGATTTAATTGTATTTCTATTTCTACCCCCTTCTTTATTACTTACTGTGGGACCACATAGAAGGAAGTGAAAGGAACACCTGTAGGAGTCACTTCTTTTCTTTTCCCATGTCAGAGTTTGAACTCAGTTCATTGAACTTATCAGCAAGATCCTTTTTCTGCTGAGCCATTTCACTGATCATATGTGATGGAAATTCTTAACTCTGTGAAGCTCAGAAGAAACAAATGTTGTAAAAATAATTTTATAAACAAATTAAAGAGCAAATTTATAAAGTCAAACTTGAAAATAATTTTATTGAGCAAATAATGAATTACTTCAAAATATAAATGAACTGACTTCAACAAACATATCTAAAAGCTAAATAACTTCATATTTTATAGTTTTGTGATAAAGTCTAGTACCTGTTATCCTTCATAAATTGTTCCTCTCAATCATTTTCACTCTTCTAAATACTTAATACCACTCAAAGTACATTTTTAATATGTGCCCTCATTTAATTCTTTAAATTACCTCTAAAATACATAGTGCATATTGGTCTTATATTAATGGACACCAAATCACAGTAAACATAAGGCTATAAGTGAATTGATCCTAAGAAATGACACCAAATATCATTCTATTAAGAAAGAGTGATTTGGGGACTGCAGAGGTGGCTCAAAGGTTAGGAGAACTGGTTGCTCTCCCAGAAGTCCTGAGTTCAATTCCCAGCAAGCAGGGGGTGGCTCACAACCATCTATAGTGAGATCCGGTGCCCTCTTATGGTGTTCAGGCATACATGCCAGTAAGACTCCTTATACATATTAAATAAATAAATCTTATTTTTAGAAGAGTGATTAAGGACATGGTATCACAAAACTACTGGAGAATATGAGTGAATTTAGGTTTCATTTATGTGCTGTTGTTGGATATGAAAAATGACTCTTTGTCTTCAGAAACTTCTTCTGGTAAATTCTGGGAGTAAATGAGTTTCCTTGGGATCTTAGAAAATGCCACATTCCCATGGTTCTCAACAAGATTTCTTTGACTCATTCAAAATTTCTAAGTCTTCTATCTGTTGCTATATTCCTCAAAGTCCTCCCCACTCCTAGTCTTAACACACACACACACACACACACACACACGAATGTGAGTGCACAAATGCACATGAGCGCACGCATACACAAAGGAGAGAGCCTGAGGGAGGCAGGGAGAGAGACAGTCTGTAAAAGCTCATCAATTCTCTTATATATTCCCCAGTCTATTACCCACATGACGTAGACTACGAGCTCATTGGAGAATCCACTCAGGCATTTACATCCCACCAGGGGGAAAAAAATCTCTATATATCTAAAGTAGAGAATGTATACAGCTGTTTAATGCAGATGGTGGCATCAACCTGGGAGATGGGGGCCTTAAAATGAGGGAGACAGCGTAAGACAGTTTCTACTGAGGGTTAAGAAGAACCACCCAAGTAAACTGTTCAATCACAAAGACAAGACACATGTGGCAAAAACATATTTTTCTATAGAAACATGAATTACAACAAATGAAGTAAACACATTCCTGAGAATAACATGAAACATATTCCAAGAACAATTCTGTATTTTGAAGAAACTCTCATCTTGTTATCCCTCCATGGGGGATATGTTCGCAAGGCCTTTTGTGCACCAGGGATACATCCTGGCTCCACTGTCTGAGGTCCCTTAGACTGCTCAGTCTTTCTGGCTGAGACTCCTATTCAAAGGGGCCTTCCCAGCTATCAGTCTGGGGGCCCGTTAGCTCCTCCTTGCTCAGGTAAGCTGTCTCTATGTGTTTCTACTGCCTGGTCTTGTCCTCTCCATCTGCATCTGAGTTCTACTTCGACTCAGTGTTTATGTATGGGTGTTTGCTCCTGTTTCCAACAGGCATTAGATGAGGGCTCCATGGATAAGTTAGTTGTTGATCTCACTATTCGGGAAGGGCATTTATGGTAGCCTTTTTTTTTTTTTTTTTTTTTTTTTTTTTTTTGACCTTGAGAGCTACTTTTCAGATAATCTAGTTGGGGGAATCAAACCACTCATATAGGCAGGCCTCATGCCCAGCAATAAATGGCCAGCACAAAACAAATTCAATTACTTTATGTGTTTTGCCTTATATGCATGTCTATGTACTACATGCATGGCTAGTGCCCAAGAAGTCCAGAAGAAGACAACAGATTCCTTGGAACTGGAGTTACAGAGTACTGAGAATTTTCATGTAGGCATTGGGAACAATACAGGCATCCTCTGGAAAAACAACTGTGTTCCTAGCACTGAGCCATCACAGCAGCTCCAACCCTCTCCCTCTCAAGTAACTCTGATCAAAGTGCTTTGTCACTCTCTGAAACTGGAGCAAAGGATGCAAGGACAGAATAGGGCAAGCAGGAATTTATAGAAAGCAAAGTCTTTTATATGAATTCCCTGCTTTCTGAACAATGAAAATTGACAAAATGAAAATTATTACATGCTAGTGGCACTTCAAAGTTATCAACATTTAAAATGATGAATGTTGCTATGCATAAAGACAGCCCTCTCTTGCTGGGCAGTGGTGGTGCACGCCTTTAATCCCAGCACTAAGGAGGCAGAGGCAGAACTCTGTGAGATCAATGCATTTGAAATATACATGGGAGGTCCAAGCAAGAAAAAGATACATAATATAGAAAAACTTTAGATCTAGCATTCAAGGCACATGTCTGATTTTAAACAAAAATTTCAGACTGATGATGTAGTAATATTTATAACTTACAGAAACTAGAAATAGTAAGGACCATTGTCACTTTTGAGTCCTATCTAACCAGACACCAGAAGCATCTCAGTGATACCATACAATAGGCTGGGCACTCCTGCAACTCACATAAAGTGAACCTCTGGGTCAGCATGCTAACTGGTTTTGCACCTCCTATGTGTCTGAGTTTGAGGCCTGGCTGTATCATGAGCATACATCACTGTATCACCAGACAAGAACACAAAGTTTAGGTATTGAGGATTATTGACAACAATGGAAAGTGTGAAGCAAGGCACTGCATTTCATGAATGACTGATAATGTAGTATCCAAACCAAGGGTTGAGTGCATTGCCTAAAAAAAGACATTTAA